CAATACTGCTACTTCTTCCCTTCCCCATTCTCCTGCTCAAGACAGCCACAGCAGTGCCAATGAACAGCGTGTGACACGTAAAGGCCAGGCGGTCTTCCCGAAGGTGGGGTCTGCCCGTTCACACGCTTTCCTCCCACCTGATACATAAAGTGGCATTTGAAATTGCCAAAATTAGCCGTTCCTTTTTTCCAGATGTGTTATCATTCAAATATACTGAGGGCAGCCTCTTCTCACTAAGAAAATTAACCAATGGTCTAAAACCAGATGGCTACAAGAAGTTATTGGCTATAAGGTCCGAGGATCAATGGGAAGAGAGCTACAGTAAATTATCAACATCTATTAGTGGACTTCAGTCCCTTATTAGTTAATTGTTTCCCAGAAAGTGGGGCCCAGAGAGAATGGAAGGAAAGGTTTGACAAGCTGGGAAAAGGAGAGAAAAGGGTCTGGGGAGGGCAAGAGGCCTAGGGTTGTAATTGGAAAGGATGACAAACATTTTGCCTTCCAGTCTCTAATATCAACAGCACTGGATATTAGAAAAATCACCTAAGGAGTTTTTTTTAATAATGATGCCTAGGCCCATCTAGGACGCTGACTCAGAACTCCACGGGGACGGCGGGAGCAAGCATAGAGTGGCAATTTTTTGAAGGGTCCTCAGATGATTCTCTCGTGCAGCTCTGGTTGAGAATCACTGCTCTATAGGTCCATCTTCTCCAGCGCTGAGTACAATGCTGCTGAGACAGGTAGCAAACAGACCAAAAAGCATTCCCTCCTCACTGGGCAACTTGGGACTCAAGAGGTAAAAGGGCAAATTACATACCAATGGCACCAGTTGCTGAACACTGGTTCTGCAGGCAAATGAAGGCCAAAGAGGAAGCCTTGAAAGGCAGGTTTGGGCTGATATCCATGGCTGCAGGTCTGTGATAGAAAAGTTAGTTTTAACTCATACAATATTTTGGCTGTTTGGATCCTCCAGTGACCTGGTTTATACTTTTATCTCCAGGCATGTAAGGACAGACCAAGCAGCCCAGAAACTAGAAGCAAAATAGAAAACAAAAAATCCTACCCCCTTGAAGTAGTTTATGAAGATAGCTTAAGAGTTACTTAAATTTTTTTAAAATGTCCATACCCAGGTAAAATGCTATTTAACCCAACTTTCAATCACAACTATTTATTCTAAGAAGTTACAATAGGAGTTCTCAGTCTGTCTGTGCCACTACAATTCTGTAATCTCATGTCCTTTATCTGAATTTCCCTCATTTCATTTATCAAATGTTGGTTACAATGTCAGGTCTGCAGTTGAACTCCATAGCTATGAGAGCCAAAACAGCTTTGAGTTTTTTTAAAAAACACTAGCTACTTGATATTATTGAATTAGAATGTATCACTACAAAGTCATCCTGCAATTAGATTTCCTTTTCCTAGCAAGGCGTGTAGCTTGTAGTAACAGAGCACCACCTCAGTCCTGGAGGACAGGCTTTCAGCCTCACATTCATTCTGGTCTCCTGGGCTAAGTCTGACCCTCCAAATCAAGTAATAGTAGAAAAACTCAATGAAGGTACCCAAGCTTTCCTTTTAGAAGGTACTCTGAGGAGTCTGCCAGTGTGTGAAAGTCTGTGTACTTCAGGATTCCTAAAATACACACAATGTCAAGCCTCAGTCATATCTTCCAAACTGGCTTTTGGGTACCACAGGACGTATGACTTGCTGTACTTTCTGTGGTTTAGAAATATGCCAAATTGAAAGCGACAGTTGTTAGTTCCAGGTTTCTTTTTACTTTTCTTCCTTCATTGTCCATAAACATGTACAGTCCTAATGTGCTCAGATAACTGTGTAGATGTGTGACATGGTCTTTCTCCCTAGACATGCCAGCAATGCTCCTGAGACAGGTTTACAAGGGATGCATGTGAACATTGTATGTCATTAGTAAAGACAGTAGGTTCTCGAGAGGGTTAAGGAAAGGAAGTAACATAGGGGTCTGAAGTCTTGAAAGGCTTCTTAGAAGAAAGGGAGATTCGAGCTGACCCTATAGGTAAAAATGACACAGAGGATGACCCTTCTAGACAGGGGAAAAGAATTATATTAATAAAGCATCCATCTGTAAAACCACCCGAGAAAAGAAACCACACTAGGTTTCATGAGTATTTTGGGTCTTATGGGAAAAAAACTGACCACCAGTGTTTTAAAACCAGATGGCTACAGGAAGTTATTGGCTGTAAGTTACGAGGTATAAGAATGAAATAAGGAATTCATTCATAAAAGTTTTTTTGCTCCTAATGATTCCTGACAAAGGGGGGAATTACCTAAATGTTGGATATTACTAGATCCACATTTCTACGAATATTAAGATTTTCGCATCATGAAAATTCTTAATCCAAAGACTTGAGGTGAAACCCTGAAACTCTTTCTTTTAGTTACAACACTGATACACTAATTCCTACTGTGCGCAGTTTTTCCACAAATAAAATAAAACCAACCCTCACCAGGCTTCCCAAAGGCTTTGTCCTAGAGTTTTCAGAAGTATTTTGAGCTATTTGGACTGGAGGAGAAGGCGGGTATATACACTGAAGGGTGGGAGTGAGATAAATGGAAGGGGTGGAGCTCATTCAGTTTCCAATCTCCACCAAAGACTTAAAAGCTAAAAGCAAAAGACAAAATATCACCTTAAGAAGAGAAAAATCAAACTACCAAGATTTATTTAACTTTTTTCTTTCACAGAAAATACAAGTATGCAATGTAAACACTGACACGTGAAATAAAGCACAAGGGTCAGGAAGACAATCACTTGGACAAGCTCCTGCTTCGGCACTCGACTGCTTCCTGGCCTCATTTGCAGCATGAATCACATGGTTACATATATTGGAAAAATTGAAGGCAACATTCACTTAGATTTATTGAAACACCAGAGAGCCTCTGAAATCCAACAATGCCATAGAGAAGTCTGATCTTTCTCTTGTAAAAAAATAAAGCTGAACACATGTCCATTTATCGATTTACCAAGGCATTTAATTTAATGTAGGAGAGCAAGAATGAATTAACACATGATCTTTAATATGCCTGTGGAGGCAAAGATGAAATTGTGCCTCTTTCCCCTCTCCAGAGAAAATAAAATTAACCAAATTAAAAGCAGAGCTGCCTGACACTGGCCAGATGACAGCACAATCACAGTGAGTTCTTATTTCAGTAAATCCCAGAAAATGCAAAACATGAGAAAGGACTGACATTGGTGCTTTGCCCAAATGGTAAAGCCAGATCCAGTGCTGCAGAACCACATGGGGTTTTCATGGTTCTTTCCCGGAACTCCAAACTAGGAAAAATGACCCAAATAAATCGTTGGGATCAAGAACCACCTTGATTTAAAACAATGTTTCTAAACTTGAATTCAGCAATAAAGAGTATGGGCTTCAATTTTCTGTGATTATCCTAAGAAATTAAAATGATCAGTCTTCCCCTGGCTGGGTAGCTCAGTTGGTTAGAGCATCTTCTTGATACTCCAAGGTTGTAGGTTCGATCCCCAGTCAGGGCACATACAAGAAGCAACCAATGAATACATAAATTAGTGGAACAATAAATCGATCTCTCTTTCTCTCTCTCAAATCGATAAAAAAGATAAATAAAATGACCAGTCTTCTTTCTTATCAGATGACAACGACCCGGTAGCAGGTAAACCTTGATAACAGATGCCTACTATACAGTCTGGATCAGTAATGGAACTCTGTCATAAGATCTGGCGTTCAGATATGGCTGCTTAAGACATCAGAGCCCTGGCATTGCCCAGTACACCCACTCCTGCACTCAGATCCACAATCAAAGGTTATTATAAACAACCCATACTCCTCCATTCCTTGATACTCCATAATCTATGGAGAAAAAGTGCCTCAGATACTTTATACTTATAGTGGGCAGGGCAGAACGGTCAGCTCATGCTGAACACGGATTCTCTAGAAGAGAAATGTTACTCTGACCAGGTGTTTGAAACTCCTTTTCCCAGGCCAGCTAATCTCCCTGTACTGCTGAGATGGAGATTTGTAAATGTGTTTATATAAATATCACATGAACGATACCTTCATAACAAAACCATTCATTTTTCTATCTCTGACCTACAGCATTTGGCACAGTGTTCTGCAGTTTATTGTGCTCTCACTAAAGATATACATAGAACAGAGAAAACCAAAATCAGGTTTTAAAAGGGATAGGAACTGATATTCCCAAGAAATCCCTGGATCAATCATGACCTTTTTCTGTGCTATGTTTCAGTAAGTTTCTGCTCAGGTGGCTTTTTATTTTCCACATGCAAGATGATAAAATAGATCAGCCCTGTTCCACTATGATTAGTAAAAAGCCACTCATCATGGACCTCCCTTACCAAACTCTCCTATTACCTCTGCAAAAAGTACGTGCTTCAGCCACTGTGAAGCAATTCAGTGCACTATTAATGCAAGTACAGCAAGATATTTCACTGGAAATTCTCTATCCTGCAGTCAGACCAAATGTGCCAATATTTGGAAAAAAGAATTGAGAATTAAATGCCAGAGATCTTTAGAGCAGCAAGTGGGGCCCCAGTTTATCTTCATTCTCCAGGTGTCATTCTATATTGCACAGACCTGCTGCCTCCCCAGTGCTTCAACCGAACCCCACATACTTCTCCAAGGGAGACTTTTCACATGGTCACCAGCCACCTCTCCCCTCATCACTTCTTTCCTCCTCTCTTGGGATCAGTTCCTATTGAGAGCCCTTCTCTTTGAAAAATAAAAGATGGAAACTCCAAAAAATAGATCCAACCTATTTGCAGATACTAGACACAATCATCCTTAGGGAGATAAGGCACCTATAATGTGACCCAAACTGACTATAGAAATGGAACTACTACTGGATCCTGCCTGTGTGGCTACAAAGAAGCATGACTTCCAAACATGAGCACTTTCCTGCCAGCTGCCAGGCTGTCCCAGGAAGCACTGCTGTGATGAGAGTCTAACCAACAGACAGACGAGGCTCCAGAGAACTTAAAGAAAAACAGGTAAAATTCTTCATTAAAACAGAAAGTTACACTATCAATCAAGTCCCTGGCCAACCTCATCATCTTTTCAAGTAATGTTTTCATAGTCAAGTGAGGAAATATGGAAGAGTATTAGATGAGACGACAACCCAGGTTCCAGTCCTAGTGCTATTACTTACTGGCTGTGTGACCTTGGGCAAGTCATTTTACCTCCCCCTGCAGTCTCAATTTCTTAATCTATAAAATGGGTATAAAACCACTTGCTTTGTCTATCTCACGCTGTAACTGAGGATCAAATGAGATAATGCAAAAGTGCTTTATAAACTACAAAATAATGTATGTAAAGGCAAAATAATAGTACATACTTATTAAAATACTAGGCCTTTATAATTGCCTATCTGATGAGAACTGCCCCATGCAGGGTGTGCTTTGCAATATACGGACTCAAAAATAGCTGCTATAAATATACACTGTTTTGTCTTTTTTACTAGCATTGTTTAAAAAAGAGGAATTCTCAATTTCTTCAGAAATGGCCATGGAATTACTTACAAATGTGATGTTATCCAACTCTACCAATTAATAGAATTTTCTCCAAATATGTCCTGTACTATAACCGTCTGGTCTATTGATACCTTTACACTGGGAAATCTTGAAGACAAGAAATAGCATGCTAAAATTTAGGGAAAAACACCCACATAGTTACAGGTTGTTGTAAAGGAAATAAAATGAAAATTGAGGCATCCTCAATAGCGAAATTAGGCCACAGTTTCTCACAGCGTTGCCTTTTTCCTGAGGTACCTCCAGGTCAGGGCCCTAGTTCTGTGAAGAGCGTTAGAGAAACTTGGTCTTGCTGGAGGGAAAAGGACATGTAGACTGTGCTCATCTTCAGCACTCGGATTTGAACAAGAAGGTCTGCTAGAAGCTGCCACAAGCCTTGGGGAGAAGCCCACATGGCCCCGGAGAGGCTTGCTAGTTCTCGGAGCATGGGGAAGAGCTCGCCACAGCCACCCAGTTCAGAGGCTTTCAGTTCTTCCTATGAGTTGATTCTGCTCTTCTCCGGTCTAGTAAATAATTGAACAGAAGAAAAAACATGAGATGTGGAACTCTATCTACCTGGACTTAGGGCCTTTCTCTGCCTAGCTGCCGGAAGGTTGCATGCAGAACAGAGACACGGGCAAGAAGTGAACGTGCTTGACTTTGACCAGCCCAAAGCACCCAGATTCCAGGGTTTGTGTCAGGTGGCCTTTATTATAAATGTTACAAGCGATGACTGGGAAGGAGTCCCACCACTGGAATCGCTAGAACAGGATGGCTGTCCTCTGGGGCCACAGGTGTGTTGCTAACCTCCGCTTTTCTTCCTGACTTGCTTTGCTTTCCGGGGTTTGAGGATGGTGTAGTTTGCATACACTGTATACTGATCAGACAGGAAGGGGACATAAAATGCCCGCAGCAGCTTTGAAGATCTGAAAAACAAGAGCAAAAAAAAGACAGAATTTTATCATTTGCGAGAATTTACTAATGGCATTGAAAAGGATTCAAGGAAATAAACTAAGTGCTACAGTAAGGATGTTTTATATAAGCAGCACAGAAAAGTCTGTTTTAGCTCCTAGATCATGATCAAAGACTTAATCAAAACCAAGTACCTTGTTACCCACACTAAAAAGACAGGCCCCCCTATCAAGACACAGCATATCCTTCAAAATAGCTCTAGGTCTTTACTTTGCATTAGCATATACCACAAAAAAGTTCCAGGCCAATCAAAGGAGTACTATTATTAAAATAAATTCTTAATACCCAATGGTTTCTGCACCTAAGAAACTATAAAGATGCTCAAATGACCCTGACTCCAGTACTAAATTTTCCTAGAGAGATAAAAGTATGTCTGGGCTTCCTGTGCACAGTGTTCCAGCAATTCTTTTTTTTTTTTTTAATTTTTATTGATTTGAGAGAAAGGAAAAGAGAAAAAGAGGGAGAAAGAAAGGGTGAGAGAGAAACTTCAATTTGTTGTTCCACTTATTTATGCATTCATTGGTTGATTCTTGTATTTACCCAGATTAGGGATCGAACCTGCAAGCTTGGTGTATCGGGATGACACTCTAATCAACCGAGCTACCTGGCCAGGGCTCTAGCAATTCTTAAGTCAAAGAGAGAGTCTTACACACAAGCTAATGTCATGACATGTCCCTAGCAAGTTATAATATGTATATATTTGTTATTAAAATACAGAAAGAGATAAAAACCTGAATTTCTTATGAGTTTCTAAAGAATGTGAAAAACACATCGTTTATTGAACTTTTAGCATTGGACAAACACTGGGAAAAGTGTTTACACTTTTAAAGGTAATATTTAATCTATCCATAACCCTAGAGCACATGATATGATTATCCCTAGTTTATAGATGGGAACTGAGGCTTACATAGATTAATTACCTTGCCCAGGGTCACACAGTAAGTGGCAGAGCCCTCATTCAAATCCAGACTGGATTCCAGATTCTGTGCTCAACCACTATGGTTTATCCTGCATCCCAGCAGCAGGCTAACAGGATTCATCACTTTAGAGAAAAAGTGGCAGTGACAGTTTCAAATTCTGTATCAAGTATTATTTCTTGACTGTGATTTCTGAGTCAAAAAATCAAAGTTGGCCCAGTGACTGCCACCCTAAATGAGGAAGCTGAAGGGTATTCCATTGCCAGTCCTTTTCCAGACTCTAAACTTGTAAATGTCACGTCAATGTGGCATTTGCACTGGCAGCCTACCCCTGGGTCTGGCAGACTCCCGTAATGCCTGCACACAATGATATCATGCTTGGCATACACACCCCGCAGAGATTCTTCCGGCTGGGCCACTGGCAGTGCCTGTGCTCAACAGAGATGCACTTCACTACAACGGCTAACAGCTCAAGGGCTGTGCGAGAAAAAGAGGCTTAGAGGAGATGCACGCGAGATAAAGCAGGGCTCCTGCAAACAGATGGAACAGGAGGAGGGAGCAATACCTGAGTCAGAAAGAAGTTAATTTATTCTTTCAGTCCATGCTGCACAGATAAGGGAAGGTCAGAACAGAAGGCTCTAAGCCAGAGCAAACTCCTGCAAGCTTAAGTGTGGTGAAGAAAGGCTAACACTAATGAAATGTCATTTCCATTCAGTTGACTCCACGATAAAAGCTTCATTAACAGAGTCAGCACATACTGCCAGTCAACTCAGTCCTCGGTATAATGCTAGGGCCACTGGGCCCAATTTTGGTTTTTTACTTTCTTTTTGGAACAATTCCTTACTATTGGAGACGGTTATTATTTCATAATATTAATCTTTTAGAGTCTTCCAAAGAACAAAGACAGATATTTATTTTTAAAAATAGAATAAAACTTATTTTACTTTTTAATTACCATGTAGATCCATTGTACCCTTTTATAAATTTAAGCTATATTATAGGATCTTAGTGGTCTCATTTTTCCTGTATCTTGGATTATTTACAACTTGCTTTGTGAAAAAAGACTAAAATAATAAGAAAAAGGAAAATGATGAAATTACAAAACAGAATGATGCAAAAGTAAAATAAATGATCACTATTGAATTATCCTTCAATTCCTTATAGCACTGTCCAAAGTGTTACATCATCTTTAAATAAAGCATAAAAGACTAAAGACATTATCTTTATAGTCTGCTTTTAGCTTTCACTAAACATAGTTGAGAATTCAGAATTTTAAAAATTTCAGTCCATAATGACAATGAGAAGAAAACTGACAGAAGACATTTCACAAGTATTAGACAAAACAGCAGATGAATGACAAGAGACAAACAGTAGCACTCAAGACTCTTGAAGGATACAGATGATAAATAAAAAATTCAATGAACTGATCATTTTAATTGGTGTTTATAAATCTAAAAATAAAAATGTTTGAATTATAAATCAAAAAAGATAGCTGTCCTCCCTTTGGCAAAATTGAGCCATTAAAGGTCTCAAAAAATACTTCAAATTTTGCATCTTGTTGATACAAGCGCAAGAACAACCAGAAGCAATAAGCTAGAACCTATTAGAGATGATTCTGAAGCCCAGAACCAGTATTTTCAAGATGCATATATTCCAGGTTCACACATGACAGCCGAGGAGCAGTTAGTTGTATTCACACACCACACACACACAAAACCAGGAGAAAATGGAATATTTGGGGTTGCTATATTTAAATTATTAAAATTTCAAATGAAGTAGGTTTTTTTTACTATGCTGTTATTCTTATTTTAAAAAGTTATTTATAAAATAGCTAAAAAATATTTTTAAAAAAGGGTCTTTTGGGCGAAGGCAGTAAATGGTGATGGCTATTTTTCCTGGTATACTGATCATGCCAAAAAGTTCTAAAAGATCATTTCAGAACACTGTCTTGGGCTTTTCACGGGACAAATCATCAGCAAAAATACTCACTATCCTGAAATAGAAGAAGAGCCACTATGCATTATTGTCGAGGGCAAAAGGCAATTGAACTGAAATAAAGTAAAGAGATAAAGGAGATTGAGACAAAAAATATATAACAGAGGATTAGTACCTAGAATATATTAAGTGTTCCTGCAATCAATAAGACAACTCAGAGGAAAAAATGACAAAGGATATGAACAGAGAAAAGAAATGTAAATGCCAATAAACATATGACATAATATTCACTATTATCAGGGAAATGTAAATCTAGATATAATTGTTCAAAACTCAGGTTTGCAAAAGTTAAAAAGTCTGACGGTATCAAACACTGGTGAGCAATTAGGAAGCATATTGCCACTGAAAGTGGAAAACTGCACAGCCACTTAGAAAGGCAATTTTAACAGTATCAATTAAAACAAACTAGGCAGCCCCTATGTGGTACAGCAGGGGATTTTTATTTTGTACTTTACTCCATGTTGCTTTCTTTTTACAACCTACTTTGCTTTCCATTTGTTATGATAAAGAATTTCAAACATACAAAAGTAGGCAAAATACTATTTTACTTGTAATTATTTTGAAAAACCAATGGATAAGTTTTTAAATAAAGAAAATCTTAATCTTTAAAACAAACCAACCTCTGTTTTTACTATGTGCAGGGCCTTGTGTGCTGGCCCTGATGACATAAAAGCCTCTGTTCTCAATGAGCTAATAATCTAGTCGGTAGAAACAGAATATGAGTGAAAAGTAACCATAGCTTAGCATATACTAAATACTAAATAGCTGATAATGTTCAAAGTGATAATGTGCACATTCAGAAGAGAGGACAGGCTGCATAGGTGTGCAAGTTATTTACTAGACATTATTCCATTTTACCCACCCAACATTCCAAGATACACTAATCAAGAAAAGCAACTCGCTCATTCATAAGCAAAGCTATAGGCATTTTAGGTCAGATGCTCTGTTCATTCAGTGGCAACTGGAGAATCACCTGAACAAAATCCAAACCCTTTCTCATGGCCTACAGAGCCCTGGGGGATCTAGCCCTTCCTTAGTTGTCCCACTTCGCCTCATGCCATTTTCCTCCTTGCCCACTGCACTCCCACCACACTGGCCTCCTTTCAGTTCCTCAAAAGGATAAGTTCTTACCCTATGGCCTTTGCATATGCTCTCCCGCCTCTGCCTGGAATACTCTTGCACCGTTTTTCTCATCACTAAACCCATCTCATTTTTCATTCCTTATCTTAAAAGTTACCTTTGAGAGGTCTTCCAATCATCCAGGGAAAGCCTAGATTTCCACTTCTATTATTTAATCTCTCTCAGTGCGCCTTGTGTGTTTCTTCGTTACACTTCACAATTTGTAATTACATATTATTTGTTAACTTGTTGACTGTCTGTTCCCCCACCCCAGATTTCTGGGATCAGGTCTGTTTATTTACCAATAGCATATAGTGTCTGGCACATAGTAAGCGCTGAAAAACATGGATAGATGAAGGCAGGCAGGAAGGCAGGGAGGCAGGGAGGCAAGGATTTTATACAAATGAGATCTGAGTTTAATTCAATCCAGTTCAATCACAAGTAACTGAGCACCACGTCAAGCAAAGGGTTAAGTGCCAGGAATACAATAATGGAGAGAGAGGTTCCTATTCTCAATGAGGAATTCAAAGTTCAACTGAATGTGCAGTTTGGAATAACCATCTTGCTAAGGACAAACACTGGTCTGACTTGGATACATCAATAGATCCCAGAAGCATCCTGATTCTGCCATGTTTCCTCAGTGTGCAATCTTAAGAAATTCAGCATCAAATTCTAGATAATGTGTTCAGGAAGCAAGGAGGCATTTCTAGTTAAGCCAGAACACACAACTGTATAAAAAGTGGCCACTAAATATCAGAAGAAGTGAAGAATCTATTTATCATCAGAGCTTGGTAGAAGAAAAATCCTCATTAGATGAATCTCCTTTTCGCCTACAGATTCTACTTCTGATCTTGAATAACATTATTGATCATTAACATCTAAAGGCACTAATTTCTTCAAGAAGATGATGTGAGGAACAGGCA